AAAAAATAATAATAATATAATACAAAATTATAAATTGTGCGTGTGAACAGTGATTTGAAAATTTTCGAACACTCTGTAGAAATACGCGCAGTAAGAGATTCCAAGGTCTCCAGGAAAGTTTTAAAGGTTACTCGCATAAACTTGTGAACTCGCCCTAAAGCAACGACGTATGCGAGTGTGACGTGAGTTACAATGGTAGTTTCTAAAATTCAGGTTGCAACATTCCTTAAAGCAACAGTTCTGTGGAAGTTCGTTAGTGTATCTCGGGATTATATAGTGTAAAAAGAAGTTTCAGTTCAGGAAGTGGATTGAAAATTTTCTTTGCAAATGTTACTAACGAAAATGGGAAACATAACGGTGACAGAGAAAGGTGTAGCGTCGACGTTTGTTCAATCTTCCCTTATCGCTTTTTTCCGTGTCCTTCAATTTCAAGGATATATCTCGTTCCGGTTCCACGGTTCCATTTCTATATGAAAAAAGAAACACGGAAATCTCGCGCTTAGCTTTTCAGTGCGAGTCACAGATACGACAAGTCGATTTAACCTTTACACGCTATTCCTGCTTTCCACCCCGAGCCATAGCGCAAGATAACGTTATTCACAGAGAATATTCGTGATTGGAACGATGGTAATGACAGATAAGTATGAACAAACTATGGAAATATTGGAAGTTAGAGGCAGCCGTTATCACGAAGGATAACTTTGAATAATGAATTTTGAACTTCGACACATCGAAATGGTATTTGTTTTTTAATTAAAATTTATAGTCAGACGAACGTGTAATGTTTCAGAATTGATGGTGAATTTTTATTTTTACGCAAGTTGCCCTAGTAAGAAACCTGCAATATATGTACTTGATGTAAATCAGTTCGTGTCAAGGAGGTTATATGCACCGTGGTTGTACATACTGTCTGTGTTACGAAGTTACAACGAAAATTTATGCTTGAAATGTTGCATCCTAAGCTACCATAAAAATGATGTTACACACTTGCAATATTTTTAGGTTAAGTACAGGAAAAATATTTAAGAATGTGATTCTACGTTTGACTTATTAATAATTTATAAGGCGCGTTTATTATTTTCTTCGAATAACTTTTTATTTTGCCATTTTATTTTTCGCATATATGTACAGGGTGTCCTAGGTAACTGTGATAACATTTCCCCTTTTCTTTCCACAAAAAATATTGTAGACAGTAATTTAACTATATTTACATAATATTTGAGAACAAAACTGCTTACATATCTTTTTTATCTTACTACATATTTTTACATTTATAAACTTTATTAACATAGTAAAAAAAAGAAAGCAAAAATATGAAAGCATATTGTATAAATCTTTCCCTCAATGTGTTGCACTGGCCTAAAAATAAAATATAAAGCAAAAGGTAACCTTTAAAAAAAACATGTAAGTGAAAACAGCTGTTACCGCAATAATATAACTTCTGTCTTTGTTTATTTTACGAATCCACCAGAAATGATCCTTGACAAGCAGTTTTTTCCCTCCTTCTCTTATTCAATTCTACGAGACCTACGAACGCTTTCAACACGTGTGCCCGGCAAAGGTCTCGAAAACGAGTCTCGTCGTGGCAACGCACGCGTCGCCAGCTTTTTAAAACCGTTTCCTACCATGCTCGTTTTTTCTTTTTTTTTCTTTTTTTTTTTTAACGAGTAAAACCGTTTCCGAGCGACGACGAGAGCTCGGAAATGGCGTACCGGCAATTTTGTTTCGCGGTTTCACAGAATCAAACTCGTTACGTACCTTCCGCTTTTTTTTTCGTTCATTTTACTTTTTTCGATCTTCCCCTTTTTTATTCCTTCGCTCATATCCAGTCTGGAAAATGTTTCAACCGGGAGGCAGGGTTAACTTTCGTCGCTCCAACCTCCCGCTCCTTTGTGAACGTTATCGAATTTTCTCGATGTGCGTCCGTCCAAATTTTTTACTCAATTTTGCAGACA